TTTGTGTTGATAGGGGCGTTAAACTCTGACTAAAACTAAGACATTTACCAAATGTGCTGGCGTGTAACAGACTTGCCAACCTGTACACAATTGCGTATTCTGGTGCGCAAAACTGTTAGCAGTACGCAAATGCGTGTCAAAACGATCAAATATGAATCTTTTGATTTTCCGGTAAGCGAGATCGCAATTTCTCGAAACCCGCTGTCGAGCCCCACTCGGATCTTAAAACTTGTCCCCGGTCTCTCTGCCTCTCCTTGTGGAAGGCCTGGAATTTGTCAGTGTTGCCCGATTCCACGTAATTCGAGTACTCATCGTGAGCTGAGAAAACTCGAGCAGTTTGCCGATACCTCTTGTTTTTCTCAAGCGAGTATCGGAATCGGAAATGAATTAGCGTTCGTTGATGGAATTTTATTTGTGTTCAGGACTTTTTTGGGGGGTTTTTTTACCTGCTGAAATCCCAGTGAGTTCCAAAATAAACATTTCATTGTCAAAATACTCAAAATTATGATTCCCTAGCCTGAAAAATAAGCAAAGTGAATTTGGGGGGTTGGTAAGTTTGCTGTGATACGACCTCTCGTAGTAGTAAAGTGAAACACCTAAGCCTGGTTTTTGATAATGATCTGTCCGTGTCTTCTCACATGGGCTCAGTTTGTAAAAATCTTTACTTTCAAGTGTGGGAAATCGGCCTCTAGCGCTCCTGTTCTTGCTCAGATATAGTAGAGACTCCAGTCCCCTGGCTCATGTTTAGAAAGCATTCAGAATGGCATCTTTTGGTGGAGTATATTATGTTAAGTCTTCTAATGAATAGAAGATAAGATAAGATACATCTTTATTGTCCAGATCCTGGCACATTGGTTTGGTGTTTCACCACGTATACACACACACACACACACACACACACACACGCGCGCGCGCGCGCACATGCACACACACGTAGGCTTACAATCACATGCATAATATAAATGAGCAGCAATATAAACAGTAATAATCGTAAGCTAGATACACACTCAATGTTATTTTGATGCA